TGCCCAGGCTATAGCAGCCTACCTCAGATCCATTGAACCCAAACTTCCGTGGAGGGGATGAATTTCCTCCCAGGTTGTGTGAGAAAACCTCCTTGAATATAGAAGCAATTTAAGTAGAAAAGGGATGGGGTGAGGAAGTCAGAGAAAGAGTAATCCCAAGGGGACTTTTCCAAATAGGCTGCTGCTGCTGCTTTAAAATTTGTTCTTTTCAATGAGACCCTCATTTCTAAGACACCCCCATCAGAAGGAGTGTGTATCAAATATTAGGCTCTATGTTGGTCACTACTTCATGGAATAACCTGGGACACTGTTGTACAACTACAGTTCTCTTATCTGAAAAGGAGGTAACAATACCAGCAAAAAGCAGGAACTTGGGCTCGCTGGTTTCTTAAGGCCTCTTCCAGCTCTGGGATGTATAACTCTAGAACTACAGGGTTGCAGCATTGGAATGTTCTCATACATTTTACCCTTTGAGTCTTCAAATTTATACTCCACATTTTTTTTCAGTGACACAAGAATGTTCAAAGCAACCACAGAGGTGGGTCAGGGGAAGAGTGAGCTGGGCAAGCTGTGTTGACAATCACGGGGTTTGTACTTTGAAGTCATTAGAGAGAGGCCCTTATGGAGGAGGCTCCAAAGACCAAAGCTGGGTAAGACCTTGGGGGACTATAATGAGCAAGAGTATGCTAGAATACAGGAGTCAAGGTCCAAGAAGTGGGGAGAATGGCTGGCTTCATGAGAGGCCGTCTAACTTGCAGAATAAGAATAACAATTGTGGGATCAGACAGCTTGGGTGCCAAGCCCAGCCTCCCTGTTTCCTAGCTGCATGGTCTTCCTTGCTTTTTTTTCTGAGCCACAGCATCCTCTTCTGTAAAAGCTGGGTAATAATAGCACTTCCTTCAGGACTAAACAAGATCATGTTTAGCATAGTGCCCAGCCCAGAGTTTACATTAAGTAAATGGGAGTGCTCTTGCTGCTCAGTTGATGTCATTGTTACTAGAAGTTTCACACTGGGAATCCATGAGCTGAGTTGTTCTCCTGGGTCTATGACACTGCAAGATGGGCAGCTCATAACAGCCATTAAGAGTGTAAGCTTTGCCAGAAATAAATCCATGCCTTTATAGTCAATGAATATTTGACAAAGAAGGCAAAAACATATAAGGGGGTAGATAGTCTGTTCAATAAATGGTGTTGGGACAATTGCACAGATATGTATAAAAATGAAACTAGATCACCTTCTTACACCTTACACAAGAATAAACTCAAAATGGATTAAAGACAAATGTTAGACTTAAAACCACAAAAATCTGAAAATAAAACATAGGCAGTAAAATCTTGGATATTTCTTGCAGCAATATTTTTTCTGATATATCTCCTTGAGCAAGGGAAGCAAAAGAAAAAATAAACAAATAAGACTACATCAAACTAAAAAGTTTTGCACAGCAAAGGAAACCATCCACAAAATGAAAAGACAAACCACTGAATACATTAGATAAGGAGTTAATAAGAAAAGTGTATAAAGAACTTATAAAACTCAATACCAGGTAAACAAAAAATCGAATTAAAAATGGCAAAGGACCTGAATAGACACTTTTCCAAAGAGGACATTCAGATGGCCAACAGACATATGAAAAGATGCTCAATGTCACAAATCATCAGAGAAATGCAAATTAAAACCATAATGAGATATTACCTCATACCTGTCAGAACAACTATCATCAATAAATCAACAAACAAGTGTTGTTGATGTGGAGAAAAGGGAACCCTCATGCACTGCTGGTGGGAATGTAGATTGGTGCAGCCACTGTGAAAAACAGCATGGAGTTATCTTCAAAAATTAAAAATGGGACTGCCTTATGACCCAGTTGATTCCACTTTTGGAAATTTATCTGAAGAAACCCGAAACACTAATTCAAAAGAATATATGCACCAGTCTTAGCTGGTTTTTCTCAGTGGATAGAGCATCAGCCTATGGACTGAAGGGTCCCAGGTTCGATTCCCATCAAGGGCACATGCTGGGTTATGGGCTCAATCCCCAGTAGGGGGTGCGTGTAGGAGGCAGCCAATCAATGATTCTCTCTCATCATTGATGTTTCTACCTTTCTCTCCCTCTCCCTTCCTGTTTGAAATCAATAAGAATATATTTTAAAAAGAATATATGCACCCCTATGTTCATTGCAGTGTTATTTATAATAGCCAAAATTTGGAAGCTGCCCAAGTGCCCATCAGTAGATGAGTGGATAATAAAGCTGTGGTACATTTATACAGTGCAATACTTCTCAGCCATAAAAAAGGAAATCTTACCCTTTGTGATAGAATGGATGGACCTACAGAACATTATGCCAAGAGAAATAAGCCAGTCAGGGAAAAATAAGTACCATATGATTTCACTTATATATGTAATCTAATGAACAAAATGAACTAACAAACAAAATAGAAACAGACTCATAGAGAGCAAGCTGACAACTGTCAGGGTGGAGATTAGGGATGGGTGGGGAAGTGGAGGGATTGAGCAAAAGAGAAAAAAGAGAAAAAAAAACTCAAGGACAGAGACAACGGTGTGGTGACTCCTCGGGTGAAGCGGGCTGGAGGGAAGGTGGGAGAGATGGGGGAGGTTATAGGGGGGGAAAAATGGTGATGACTTGCGGCAGTGAACACAATATACAGAGAGGTATTGTGGAATTGTGCACCTGAAACCTGTATAATTTTGTTAACCAGGGTCCAATAAATCCAATAAAAAGGAAAAAAAAGAAAGAGTGCAGTCTCTGCAATCAGACTGCCTATGTTTTAATCCATATGCTCATACAAATCACAACCACCCTGCAATTTACTCACCTACAACATGGGAATTGAGATCTACTCATAGCAAAGAGCCTGGCACAGAGTGAACACTCAACAAACATTAGCTGGGCCTTTGGCTGCCTAAGAGTGTAAGAACATGACATATTTCCTGAAGACATGACTGCAGTTTTGGTGTGAGCATAAGTGACATTCCCAATTGGCATGGAAGATCAAACCCAATCAGTAGGGGAAGGGGATGCATGAAGTTCTGCCAAGAAGGTGAAAAGGGTACCACTTTGATTATCATGATTATCCATTTCCACAATCATTCTCTGCCTCCTTCCCTCCCTCCAACTGGAACTCATTTCTGTACACTGTCTAAAATGGAAAGGCTTAACTTCATTTGTAGACATAATGCTCCCTCCAACCTAACTACTGGTTCTCTGATGAAAGTGCTCATTTGGCCTTGTAGGAGGAGCACATGGTCCTGAGAATGTAGTTGCAAGCTAGGAATAGCCATATTACCTGATGGACCAAAGGGGCAGCAATCTCCCCTATTCCCATGACTGTGTTGAATATTCCCATAATGCGCCTCTAAAATCCAAGAGAAGACTTTTATAGCAAAACTGGATTTAGAGTAAGTGGGTTATTTCAGGACTTAATTTTGTTGCACTTGTGGCATCCAAAAATTGTTACTATCGACTTACTAGAAGATAGGCAGTATTCTGAAGGCAGGTTTGGAAGGGAGCATTTTCGTAAATGGAGGAAAGAGGTTTTCAGGGCTTTGTAATGCAACATTTGCTAATCCATGTGTGTAAGAGGACAGTAAACATGGATGGCCAGTCAGTACAAGCATCGGTTGAAATGGGAAAACCAGTAACAGAAAACTGGAAAGGGATGGGGAAGTGGGTTTAGAGATCTAGTCAGTGCTCCTGTACTTTCTGCCTTGACCCGGGAGAAGCAAATATTGAGTATTATTGCCACCAGCCCCTTCCCATCCCACCTCAGCCACTCCTGGGAGTGAAGAAATCAAATGTAAGAGCAGAAGGGAAAGTTTAAGTATCTGGAAGTCTGTGAGCCTAGGGCATTTTCCCTTCCCTTCTCTTGCTCCCATCTCATTTTCAGACTGGAAGGTTCCTTCCAGAGAGGCATCTTTGGCCCTAGACAACTGAAATCTGCCAGAGTGGATCCAAAGGAAAGGAGACAAAGTGTTGGCTTTGCTCAAGGCCTAGGGAACAACTGTAAACCAGAGCTTCTTTTTAGATGATCCAACACAGTTCTCCAGAGAGAGAGTTATGCCAGCATTCTGGGCAGAAGGACTGCTTTGGAGGGAAGATTGCTCCTTTGACCAGAGTGCATACTATCTCCTGAGAGCCGGAATGTGGCAGACTGGGCACAGAAAGGCAACAACCAACAGAGCCAAGCATTCCCTCTGGGACCAAGTAGGGGAGGAGTTCTGATTTTTCTCAATTCCCAAAATATCCTTTTATAAAGAATAAGGTGCAGCCCAAGTGGAATTTTCTATCATTTCATTTTTTTAATTGTCCCACTCCCATGTCATTTGTTTCTTTGGTGGTAAAACAACCTGTATAAAGTTGTCAGCGGCATGGGATAAAATGGGTCCTGGAAATAAGATGAGTTGTTGCTAAACTCTCTCACTAGAATCAGTTTGGCCGATATTGTTCACTGTCCCAGTCAGTTACCAATTTTCCTGTCAAAAGGTTCACACTTTGGGCCTTAGCTTTAGCCTATTGTTGAGAAACAGTTTAACTGAAATAAAAATGTGTAATTCGCTTTCATGAACATTTTTTATAATGCCAAAGAAAACAGAGTAGGTAGTGTGCTCTGCTTTAAGCAAACTCAATATATGAATGGATTTACAATAAACTGTGGGTAGATTATTGGCAAAATGCTTCAACATAATTTTTAAACAACAAGCCTTTCTGAAACATGCTTAAAACCAATTACTCTATAGCCAGGTTTTCAGAACATGTCACATTAATCAGTTCACACCTTCCTCACTGTACAAAGAGCTTGCTATCTGAGTGCAGGCCTATTTCCTTGAAAGATCTTCTGGTCAAAAGTATTACCACCAATAGGAACATGAACAAAATAGATGTTTCAATAGCTTCCCCCTCTATTCGGCTTCCAACAAAATGAAAGTATTTGGGTAACTTTTGCCCTAACATATAGGTGGAGCTGGATTAGATACACAGTGAGACAATAGAAAACATTTTTTAATGAATAAACAGCTTTTACAGAGACTGTCTATATTACATTGTTATTGCAACTTAGATGAGCCGAAACTTTTCTTTGCACAGATTTGGAGGAAAGAAAATCCTAAAGAGAAATCAAGCATAAAGAGGTAGTTGAATAGCAATATGGCAGAAAAAAAGCATTATCTTAATTCCTCTTTCATTTCATTACAGTATGAGAGTAAAATAGCTGCTCAACAAACAACTGGAATAACAAACAGACATTTTTTCCAATGTTTCAATGGGTTGCTTGATATTTTACTCCTGGCATTACTGAGAATTGCATAAAATGATGGAACCAGTTTATCTAAGATAAGCCTGTGATGCCACGTTGACCTATTTGCTTTCCTTTTGTTTATTGTTGTTGTATTGACAATAGATGCCCGTTAAACAACTTTTTAAATGATGTATAAGCTACAGTGTTGCTTTGTAAACTTGTTTATCACATTTGCTGTGACAAATTTTTAAAAGGCTACAAAATCATGAAGCAAATCTTCAAAATGACACCAGGAACAGATATTACAGGCACTTCTCACTCAAGGTAAACTTAGTGCATTTGCAAATACCCAATTGTTAGTGAAAATGTCTTCATTTCACCTCTGGATGTGCAAAACCCAGATTATAAAATAGTTGAATGGCAGGAGCTATCATTCTAGGAGGAATTGAACACATACATTTTACACAGCTCTTTTTCCTTCTTCCTCTCTGCATTCAGGGAGGGCCACAAATTGCAGCCCAGGCAGCCAGCTGCTTTTCAGATCTGTCTTTGATCATGAATTAAAACCTCAACAAAAAAATTCTGCCTGTAAAAAAAAAATTGAATATTCTAACCATTACTATTATATGTATTTTTTTAATTCAGGGGAAAAAATCCACAAGCTGGAGAACGGGCTGAAAAATCTGTCCTTGTCCATTATTTCAGCTGCTTTCCATTTGCATGTTTAGATGATCCATACCTCTGCTATGATTCTGCCTTGGTAAACGAGAATGGATGCAAAGTCAGCATGTTGAGAACTCAAGGAATAAGTCCCTGAAAAAAAACTCCATCTTGGAAATAGAGTCGGCCTAGGGAATCACAGTTCCCAGTGGATTCCAGCCCATCAACAGTGTGCAACCTGTTGACAGTTCAGAGACCTCTGGGTGCTGTGAGCCAGCCTCGGGAGCTCCATTGCTCCAATAGCCAGTCACAGGGGTTTATCTGAGCCCAGGCAAGCTCCACAGGCAGAGCTGGAAGTGCCACATGTGCAGTGACTTGACTAGCCCCACAGATCTACAAGCAGTCAGACTTCAGGAAAGGCAAATTGTTGAAATACTCAGTTCCCTGGCCCCCTAAGTCAGGGGTAATCACTCTTTTTTTTTTCTGAGTTGTCTACCAAAAATTAACTTTATCGGATTCCATTTTCTACATTTTTCTGTTTGTTAGCTAGCAGCAGTAATATAGTACAAAGCAGAAAGGCATGTCTGCCTGGTACCTAGTGTACACACACACACACACACACACACACACACACACACACACACACACACACACACACCAATCTACTAGAAAAAGATTGGGTCCGATAGACAGGAAAACCTAACCAAATAAATGGCACTGTCTACCAAGGAGAAGTCTTGTCCTCCTGGCTAAACTTAGCTTTATGTCTCTGTATAATCTTCATTCCTAAGCTTTGCTGCAAAATCAATGCATAAGAGGTGAAAATGGTCACGTCTAACTAATTACCCCATTCAAGTACCTCCCAAAGAAAGCCAAGGCTGAGCCTTGCATCTTGCCTCCCACCACTAAAATAAAAGCTTGCTGTAAAACCACCCAAATGTGTATCTAAGCTACTGAGAGCAAAGTAAAATTTTTCCTTGCCAAGATCTACATTTGCTGGAGTTACATACTCACTCAACATGAAGCATTCTATGGTGTGGAATTTTATTTTAACAATTCAAACTTCCCTTTCTACCTAGATTAAGTAGAGATATGTTGGGTAATTTAATTTTACTTAACCTGCAACTTCTCACTGAGAGTTTCTGGGGGGCTTTTGAGTTGATTGTCATGTCTAGTAAATAAAATTATGTATAACACAAACTATTTAAAATGTTAAAAATCTGCAAAGTAATGGGTTCAATAACAAGCTTGGCTACTTACTGGCTGACTATGTTACTTAGGCAATGTATTTAACATTGCTGAGCCTCAGCTTTCTCATCCAGTCTGGAGACGATGTGATCTCACAGGGTGGATGTGAGAAACAAAATGACTTAACAGGCTCATGTATGTGAAACCACCTGGCTCAGTTCCTGGTACATAGTGGGTTCGCAATACTTTTTTGTTGGGGCAGCATAAAGAAATACCATGAGCCCTGGCTGGTTTGGCTCAGTGGATAGAGCGTCAGTCTCCGGACTGAAAGGTCCAGGTTCGATTCCGGTCAAGGGCATGTACCTTGGTTGCGGGCACATCCCCAGTGGGAGGTGTGCAAGAGGCAGCTGATCGATGTTTCTCTATCATCGATGTTTCTGGCTCTCTATCCCTCTCCCTTCCTCTCTGTAAAAAATCAATAAAATATATTAAAAAAAAAAGAAATACCATGAACTAAGCACAAAAGTCATAGACTGTAAAATTCACTCACCCTGGCATGGCCAAGATTTTAAATACATTTTGGAGAGCAGGGAGTGATGAATTGGTTATTCTAATGGAGCTAAAACTTAAGGCTTCCATTTAATTAGAAATTTTAGACCTCCAAACAATACTACCTTTTAGCTCCATTGAAATAAAAAAAATGTGCCGACTCAGAATTCTCCTTTACCCCTGAGCCTTATTTGTTTCCTAGTCTTCTCACTTTCCAAAACAGACTTGACTCCAAAAAGAACTATCTGTAAAGCATCAGATTATGGTCCAATACTCAGTGGTGCAACTGAGTTTAAAGGGGCTAGAGATGGGTATTGTGTGTAAAGGTAGCATTTTCTGCAAATATGGGGCCCTGATGAAATTCCGTAACAATGAGTAATCTAATCATATCTATTATTTGTTGAGTGTCTCCTATATGCTAGGCATCCTGCTAATTGGTTTACATATATTACCTCATTTGATGTTCATAACAACCTTATATGTGGTATTTATCATTACTATTTGCCAGATGAGGAAACGGGGGCTCAGGAAGAAAAGTGAAATCACAAAAGTAACACATCTAGCAAGTAGAGATGCTTATGACCCTTTTTTTTTGGGGGGGGGGTGTTACATTTACACTAGATAATAGGAAACTGTTATACTAGGACTGTGTTATGACCACATGGTGTGTACCAAGTTGGAAGGCGTAGTCTGTAATATAATGCTCCTGGAGTCTGGTAGCTTTTGCTTGGGCAGTAACCATGCCTGCCTTCCATTCTTCATCAGTCCAGTCTGGCTCCAAACATCAAACCTGGTAACATGATGCTCTGACAACATAGCATCCATTAAGAAAGTGCAGATTATCTCATTCTGCCTTTTCTGTTTCTGGCCACAGGTGATGATGCAAGAAGTCAGAGGGATTACTTGAGGCATTAACCTCTCACCTTAAAGAGTGGACAGGCTTCAAATAAACAACACACTGCTACAGTTCTGAATCACGGTGCGGAGGGGGATGGTCATTTTCTTAAATGCACAAATGGCATGATTCACTTCTTCCCTGCCCTAATCTTTTCACTCTTGTCATTATAACACTCCCATACATACGCCATTTTTCAGGTTGGCCTGGCACTAAAGAAACCACACTAACTCTAAAGCAAGCTAAACCAGGGCTCACTCTTATCTCCTTACCCACCATTCTTCCCCATATTGAAATCTTTGGCCCAATGCAACTAGGAGGAAAGGCAATTGCTAGATAAAATCATGAATTAACTTTTTGGTTCCTTTAAAAAGATTTAAAAACCAAAATGTTAGTTTGGGTTGTTTTTTAAGCATTTTACCTTTTCTACCAGCTTCTTTGAACTTTTCATAATGGACAGTCCTTCATCAAGTATTTCCACACATGCTGCCCAGGCTGTGACCCTCAGAACCCTGAAAAGAGGCAGGGTATGGAGGCTAGTTGGGCCTCACTGTGACATTCCTAACTGAAAACCATTCCCTCAGAAGGGTTAAATATTATCTTGCCTAAAAAGCCCATTCCTAACTGAACTGGGGAGAGATAAGAAACACAGAATTAGATTGCTCAGATAAATGCCTATAATAGCCTGCAATAAAGGACACTCTTCTGATTCATTGCTTCATTCTAGAAAAATAATTCCTTAAGCCTTGCTCTGTGTAACACATAGAAAATGGATGGTTTTACTTTAACCTGGCTTATTCTACAATCTATGGCAAATCCCTTAAGTATTTTATATTGTTCCTTTAAGCATCCAATTAGAGAGATACAAAAATAGTTCAAGAACTGGAATCAAACCAAGTAAAAATGGTTAAAGCAAAAATGGCACATTTCTAGTATTGTTACTTCCTTCTAGTTACATGGTTAACTACATCAATAAATAAAGCAAGTGAATTCAGTAATGCACACTTAAATAGTTACAAACATACATGTAGAAAAAAGGATACAGTAGTGCAAAAAATAAATTATTAAAACAGAAAGGAGTATAAATATTATTTTATACAATGCTTTATAAAACCTGAACTATTTGGAATAGGACCTCAAGTCAGTGAAATAATGCAGCAAGATTATTACTATCTTTGCTTCACATTTCAATCACACAGTCATTCACTGATGAAAGAAAGAGAATTAAAGCAAAACCACTTTAAACTTTCAGAAAATTTTATGTCAAAAGCAATTTTTTTTCTGGGCTCGAACACCTCTGCTGTGGGTATAGTTGTGCAGCATGTCAAGAAGTATCTCAACACAGAAAGTTTCTAACAGGTCACATTCTTTGGTCTTTCAACTGAATTTCTCTCTATAATCAACAGCAAGGTAATGACTCTATTTGATACTTCCTTCAGTTAAGATGTTATTGCAATTTGATATATTTACAAGATGACTCCCCTAGGCAGTAGAGAGGGTGAAATTTCCTTTTCATCAATTCACTCTCACTAGTTTTGGTTTCGTGCTATAAAGGCGAGGATGCGCCGAATACCATTCAGTCTATCCTTCAAGGACCTCATTGCTAGGAACGGAAGCTGAGCACGGGTTTCCAGCGGCAGAACTGCTAATATCCACCAGCACCAGGCTGGACCATTTGGGTTAATCTGCAACAGAGAAACAAAATGAGTTCATCTTATTCCTGTGGAATTGACATCAATGTACAGGTTTGCAAAGTAGCAAGGTAAATATCCCAGGTGAAACTGCTTCTGTGTGTAGCAGAGACTGATAACTGCCCCTGTATCTACACTGAGTGGCCAGATTATTATGACCGGACAGATTATTATGACCACCTCATCAATACTTCGTTGGGGCACCTTTTGCCTTTAATACTGCTGCGATTCTTCTTGGTATTGACTCCACCAGATGTTGATAGGTGATGTGAGGAATCTGACACCATGCCTGGTGAATAGCACTGTCCAGTTCTGTGAGATTTGATGGTTGTGGAACCAACTGCCTGATGGCTCTTTTAACTTTGTCCCACAAATGCTCAATTGGATTGAGATCTGGTGATTGTGGGGGCCACCTAAGCAAGGTAATGTCTCCCTCATGTTCTTGAAACCACTCCTGCACAATATGAGCACCGTGGCATGGTGCATTGTCTTGTTGGAAGAAGCCATCTCCATTGAGATACGCCATCAACGTGATAGGATGAACTTGACAGCAGCAATACTTAGGTATGTTGTGCTATTCAGACGTTTATAATGGCCTGGCCCTCTAGCAACTTCAGCATGAAATTATAGCTAATTTTCCTACAAATGTCAGGTGGTCATAATAATCTGGCCACTAAGTGTATTTCCCCTTATCTTAGCTGGGTACATAGCCACCCAGAAAAAGACATTTTTCAGCCTCCCTTGCAGCTAGGTGAGGCCATCAGGCAAAGTTCTGGCAAATTAGATATAAAGGGAAGTGATATGTGTGACTTTTGGGTCATGCCCTAGGAAGGGGGCACATGCCCTCCACCTTCCTCTTCTCTCCATTTCCCCTAGCTAGAAGGACATGGTGATCAGGAGGATGAGGGCAACAAAGGATGGTAGAGCTTTATGAGGATGGAACTTGTGAGGATGGAATGATATCATAGAACAGAGCTGCCCTAGGCCTCCGGGACATATATGCCTGCTATCTTGTTTAAGCTAGTTATTTTTGGTAGTTGGTTAAAGGAAGCAAATCAGTATCCTAACAGATTCACTATACTTCCTAGCCAGTGTGATTTTACAAGCTGGAATCTCCACTACTCAGTCTCTTCCACTTCTAAGATTCTATTTAAGATCCTTCAGACTGATGCATGCAGCTTGTGGGTCCTTCAATTTCCATGACCCCTTAGGCTTTGCATGTCTCCTAACTCCCTTCATTTTCCTGCTTCTGGGTGAAGGCACTATATTCCACATATGCTATGTCACTATATGGGGCCACAATTACAGTTAGCTTCTCTCCTGAAACCAAGCCTATGATGCACAGCCCCAAAGCCCAATAATCCCACTTTGCAAAAATTCCAAAAAGGGGACATCTGTAATACTTTCAACAACAAAGATAATACAAATAATAATAAAAATAAAAGAAAGAAAACACATTCCCATAAGAAATGTATCCTGTGCCCAGGTTTCCTTTCACTAAAGACCTCCCCCATCCCACACAAGCCCTTCACCAAAATTCTGTTTGTCAGCAGCTGCCCAGGCATGCATTTTAGACATTGGTGACTTATATTCTACTAAGCCCGAAATGAGCTTTCTGCCCCCAATTTTCTGAAGGCTGGTTTTAGGACTGTAGCGAAGCACATTCTGTTCAAATTACCTACATGTGGGATTATCTGCCTCCAAATTGGTTCACTTAATTATGCCCCAACCCTCACTGCCCTCTTGGCTTCTCTGTGTCTCCATTTGGATTCATTTTTGTCCCTCACTGCAGTCTGTAATATACTCTCCCTCCTATTATCAGTGTTGAATATTAGAGGTACATATTCTGAACTTTGTTTCCCAGGATAATTAACAAAGATATTTAAGCTGATGTTATTATCTGTGGCTGTTTCTAAGAATCCTCCTCCCGAAGCTTAGAACATTTTTATTACTGGGACCACTGGAGCTGCAGCACTGACTGGATCAAACTGAATGCAATTTTGGCTTTTTGTTTGTTTGTTTGCTAGTGCTGCTGCTGCCAAAGCAACATGATAACAGTCCTAATAAAAAAGGAAATGAAACTCCAAATTTCAGCTTTCTGTTACTGAGTCCTTATGAATCACTCTGTAGCATCTGTTTTTTTCTGGTAGAAGATGCTGTTATCATTGCTGATCGCTATCTTCTGCCTGACCCGGGGAGAATGCTTTCCAGAAGGTGAAAGGAGACACTATGCTATATCATGAGCTTGCTCAGAGCTCTGCTATAGTCCTGAGTTACAGTGGCCCAGAGCCAGGAGCTGGGTTATTGGGAAGCACTAATTGGCCTTTCTCCCTTCAACATTCATGATGCTTTTACATGGGGAAAGGGAGCCACCTTTGTGGTCTGGAGAGAGCAAGCCATTTCAGCCCAGTAGGAACAGGCTGGTTTTTTAAAGCCTCAGAATGCAAGAGAAAGAAGAGAATTTAGAGATCTCTTCATCTATCTGCCTCAGTTCAAAGATGGGAGAAAAGTGGAGAAAGGGAAAGGGACTTAGCCAAGCTCACACAGCTAGAGAGGTAAGCAGGACTAGTCTTTTGGCAGGGACGTCAGAATAGACATATTCTATTTTATTATTGTGAAAGAGTCAGGAATGTGTGTAAGCGAAGAATTCAGAAAGTTCTGGAGGAGGTGATAATATAGGAGAACCAGTTCAGAATGTGGGAAAGGTGATTGTGGGGAGATATTTGGCTAGGATAGCTCCAGTCTTGTCCTAGAAAGAGGGTGTCCTCTGATTTATACCAGGCAAGCAAAGCTTGATGAAACTTAACCATCTCCACTTTCCTGGAGAATTTCTCATTTGCAGCTTGATCTCTCTGAGGGACCTGTTCCCCTAGGAAATAGACCGACTCAGTAGAACCCAATGAACTGCTTTCTAGTATAACTCAGCCAATGGTAAATTTAACTACTGGGTCCATTTTCTGGTTTCTGCTCACCCCTGATGAGGACAATGACAAGGGTCTAGATCCACAGGACTAGGCATGGAGAGACCCAGGAGTGAAAAGTTTCTGTGGACTTGTAGTTGGAATCCGTTAAGGTAGCTGGCCCTATTTCCTAGCTCCTGAAACAATGTGTGTGTGTATGTGTGTGTGTGTGGGGGGGCGGGTAAGACAGTTATGAAGCTCCCTGGAAGTGGCAGCCTTTGGTCTCAGCTTCCAGGTCACCCTTCTCTTAAGCCTGGCCTTTATGTGAATCTTGTCACCCGAACACATTACCATGGTGTGAATCTGGACTCCCACTCGAGGTTCTCCTGCTGATTGTGTCTGTGTTCCCATCTCTCACCTGACTTACCTGTCAAAACCTGTCTTGGATCCACGTTCTTACTGCTGTACTTTAGTTCCTGGAATTCTGACCTGGGTTCCTTTTGGTCTTACCCCTGATGCCTAATGCCCAGACACACAATACCACATTAGATCCATCTTGTTCCCTGTATTTGATTTGCTAGATAACCACACATCCATCTAATCACAAACCCTAGGCTCTCTCATCTGCTAGGGGAAACCAATTACAAAAAGACAATTTATATACCTGAGGATCCGCATCTTTGTCTGGCATTGGACCAAAGTGATTGATTATCCGATTCCTAAGAGAATTTTTGAGCGAATGAAACCATGATGATGCTTGTTCATAGACACAGTTATGTAATCCCATGAGTTCAGCACAATCCTCTCCTAGAACCTGAAAGTATCAAAGTGGAAGTGAAACATTCTGTACCTTCTCCATCACTCCTAGAGCCACTATTGGTACCTGACTCTCTTTGAGCATCCATCCTGTCCCCCTATGGGAAGGCTCACCCACCTGGCTTTCTCTTGTGTGGTATGTGAAAGGCTCTTCAGCCAGATGATGGACTGTGTGTAAATACTGCTGAGGGTGGAGGAAGGATAAAGATTTGGCTGGGTAAACTGGCTGAAACAGCAACACATATAGAAAACCAGAAATGCAAACTGGCCTGAGTGGAGGCGTGATCTTAAACTAGGTTATGCTGGCTTATGTTTTTCTCCTTTTCATTTTTTACATCTGCTTTCTCATTGCTTACTGGGAAGAGAGACATGAATGTGCCTGTGTCTCACTTTATAACTTTATCATCCAAGTTGAATATATTTTTTTCACTGATCAAATACTTATTAAGTGTCCTACATAGTGACTGTAAGTATAAATAAACACAGGTTTATTATCTCCTCTTCTGCCCATTAGTCCAGAAAAGAAAGGATTAACTAGACATGTCATCTTGCTGCCTTAGCAAATGATGTATTATTGGGAAGAGCTCTTAGCCAGGTTGCCCATTTAGAAATACAAATGCATGTGTGAATCTCTAATTATCTCAAAGTAAAACATTTTAAAATATAAATAAATCGATAAAGCAATACACATGTGTAGACCCTGCTCCAGATCTATCCTTTGATATCCCTGACAGAGACCTAACTCTTAGTGGAATGGGTCCAAGGGTTGGTCTGGCTTGGCATTTCTTATCCACAAATATAATTAAGCAACTAAGCAGGGATAGCCAGGACAAGGAGTGCTCTCACTGCCACTCTACAACCCAATGACAATGCGGCAGCATTCAATTTTGCTGCACCAATTTGATGTCAAATCCCAAGGCCCCCAAAGATGCTAAGGGATCTTTTTGAAACCATCTCCATCTGCCAAGCCACAGGAATAACCTGGCTTTGGGATTCTTGGCACTAGCCACCCTTACCTTTTGGTCTTCAATGTATTCAATATCGGCTGTGTTGTAGCCATCCCGCTGGCCCTGACGAAGGACCCTGAAGCGCCTCTTGCCTACGCTGTCAATCACTGAGCGGCCATCGGCAAAGAACTGAACATTTCTGATCTCTAGAATGCAGCCATATTCTGCAAACCTGTTTATTGGAAATAAAGTCAAGAAACTGAAATCTTCATGAGTTGTTTCCCTGGCCTCACCAAGCCATTTCTACACCATGCTGTGCCTCAAGGGACTTCTGCCTATTCACCTGTCCCAGGATCTACAGCCACAGCTATACAACAGGCAGTGCCTGTGTGAAAAAAAACAACCTTAATGTACTAATACAACTGCTGGTATTTATTGAGTACATTCTATGTGCTATGATACTATGCTCAGTGCTTTGTGTGCATTATTAACTCACAAATCATTCCAACAAACCCAATGATGTAGGCATTCTTATTGTACCCATTTTACAGATAAGGAAACTGAGTCACACAAAAGGTTAAGTAACTTGTCCAAAGCCAAACTTGTTCCAAGGCTGAAGCCAAAATATGAACTCAGGCACTTTGACTCCAGAGCCCACCCTCAAAAGAAGTTTTATAGTATATGCCACCCACTTAACAAAAGAGTTATCCTGAGGTTCCTTTAAATAGGCAGCCTCTCACATACTAAACTAAGGGCTAGAGGGACTCTGATCCTTACAAATGCCTATGATCATGACCTGGCTAAGTCTCCTGAGCTGTACCTCCCAACCTCCTGGGAAAGCCCGAAGGAAAACCAAAAGCTTTCTCCACCCACCTTCCTTGACTCACATAGCTCCTCACTTACCCCTTGACGGGATCTCCAAGGCACATGCCGAACTGTCTTGTGCCTGTCTCAATGCATCTACGAATCATCAGACGGTAGCAAGGCTCAAATATATGTAGGGGACAAGGAACGGTGGGATAGGCCATAGTACACACGAAAATAGGCACATTCTTATTTAAGCTGTAAGGAAGAGTAAATGACATGATTCTCAATGCAATGGAGCACAACACAGAAAGGCTGGTCACATGTCACCACGTGGTTCCTCCACAGGAAGGCAAGGAAACATCAAGTGTTTGTTGTTGTTCTTTTAAAATATATATTTTTATTGATTTCAGAGGGGGAGAGAAAGATAGAAACATCAATGATGAGAAAGAACCAATGATCAGCTGCCTCTTACACAACCCCCACTGGGGATCGAGCTCACAACCCAGACATGTGCCCTGACTGGGAATTGAACTGTGACCTCCTGGTTCATAGGTCAGTGCTCAACCACTGAGCCATGCTAGTTGGGCAGAAACATCAAGTTTTGATGGCTGATAAAAAATACTAAAATGCAACTGATGCTGTGGACTGAGTCCCAAGATGGGGCTTGCCTAAGGGCTGAGGTAAAAATGGATATTCTATACAACCTAATTTGGCTAAAGTTCTCTATCTAGCACATTAACATGGTAGGTGACAGTTATACTTCATATTTTTTCTTCTTTCATGCTGTCCACTCAACAATCTCTCCAGGTGTCTTGCTGGCAGTATGGGAAAGGGTACTGGTGGTATAAGTGGACCCAGATCTCCAGAGCAATGATGGGACATTCTCTACAGAGTCACCATGAGCACCTAAAATTTGCAAAGCCCCTAGAAGTCTGCATGGCAGGTCCAGGTGGGAGGAGGAGGGAGCAATGGGGAGGTAGGAGTAATTTAGCCTAGTGATGCTCAAATACACCTGTGCAGCAGGATAACTGAGGGCCTTTATATCCAGACTAGCAGTCTGCAAAGCCCCCAGAGACTCTGGTACACCAGCTATGGAATCAGGACCCAGGAGTTTGCCCTTAACAAGTGCCACGAAGGTTCAGACACAGAGCCTGAGGGGAGTACCACCAACTGGGCCGGCTCCTCCTAGACCCTGTTCTCTTATTTGTCTAGTCAATCCAATATAGGAATAGCTGAACTTATCAATAGATATAAGATCATTTGCCCAAATCTCAAAAGAATTAAATATAGGATGCCTTTAAACAGAAATTTAGTATATTTCTCTATAGTATATTCCAGTTTTTGTTAATAAGACATTAAATAATATTTGAGAGGAGGGCTCAGAGAGATTCAAGACAAACTTAAGAATCAGAAATAAAGATAAAGATGCCCTGAGTAGATGTAATATAAGTCAATGAGGAAAAAAAAAGATTTCATTTCTAGCTTCCCAGGAAAACATGTTGTTCAAAGTGAGAGGGACATTCAGACAAGCTGGTGGCAATTTAGAAATGGTTCTCTACAGGGCAGGCATAAATCCAGAACAGTTTTTGCCACCGGGAACCTCACCCCCAGAATGCTGTTAGGATTCCACTGGGGTCGAGACGGGAGGGCAGCAGTATGAGAGGCAGAAATTAGTGATTGCCTCCTGCTTTGCCCACTAAGTGAGCTGTTCTTCTAGCCAGGCAGAGAACCTGGAGCCCTATTTGCATCCCCATCCCTACCTTTCACCTCTCAACACCTGTACATGGCAGAGGACATAGCACTCTTACTGTTACCATTAATTAAGTACTTACTAGCTACTAGTTCATTTGATCTTCATTATAAGTCCATGAGGTAAGAACTACTATCATCCCCAAACTACAGATGAGGAAACTAAGGCCCAGAGAGGTGAAGTGACTTTCCTAGAGTCATGAAGTACATTTACTCTGTAGAAAAACTGGATCATAAGCCCAGGTCCGGCTGACACCAAAGTTCTTAACCTCATAGCACCTCCTTATGCATTTGAAAACAGTCTTCTGGACACTTAAGCTACTCCAACTTACTTCTGCCAGTGACACCAGTTACTAGTGCCAAGATCTCACCTGGCAGTGATTTGGCTTATGCTTCTTCACCAGTGTACTGGTGAATGTTGAACAACTGACTTTCTAGGGGTGGGGAAATCCCTGGTTTATAGCATTTGCTAATTTCCATGGTGCAAATACTCTCACCATGGCCAACTTCAAGCTACTGACATGATATCACTGAATGAGGAGTTAAGGATGAATTGTGCACTCAGCTCTATGAGTTGGTATGAGTAAAACTGAAAATAGAAACATGCATATACGTACTTAGAAAGTTCTTCCATTTCCTCTTCATAAAGCCTCTTTCGTTCACTGAATTCTTCTGGAAGGAATTTGGCTATTAGCTCTTCCATTATGACATTTTTGCTGTACTTTCTTGATGCCAAGCACTATATGAGGAAGGAGGCAATTAGATATTATACAGTCATCAGAAAAACACAAAGCACTTCTTATGCAATCAGTAGAATAGTCAAATGACCCACATATTGGAGTAATTTAGGCCCACACATTAGCAGCTGATACTATCATAATGTATGTATTCTCTGGATGTTAGAAAAGTCAACAGTATGGTGATTACCAGAGGGGAAGCAGGGGTGGGGGAAATAGAAGAGAGTAAAGGGGGAATAAATGGTGATGGAAGGAGACTTAACTTTGGGTGGTGAACCCACAATATAATATATAGATGATATATTATAGAATTGTACACCTGAAAACTATATAATTTTATTTACCAGTGTCACCCCAATAAATTTAGTGAAATTGATTATTATTATAATTAGGAAAAATATTCTAACAAGGGGAAAAGGCCTGCATTTATGTTTTAAAAATCTCACTGCTTTCTCAAAACACTGATATCAAGATCATGTTCTTGTCAAAAGAGGGGAGAAATCCTTCCCTTTCCCTTTTCTGATTATTGTGTTTACAAACCCACATGTCTCCATCTGGGACATGCTGAATGTCTATGGTCAAAAGGTTCAGGAAACTAAAGAGTAATTTTTAATCATTGATCCTTTCCTGCCCTGCCCCACCCCCACCCCATCCCAATGCTTGGCTTCTGGATATTTCAAGCCTAAGTATTTTTTTGTTCTCTATCTTAAAAAAAAACCTCACAACTAAATACTGGTGATTTTTAAAAAATATACCATCTATTTATCACTGAAGTTATGTTATAAACCGTGATTTCAGAACTGAACTCAGGCTCAATTATCACTATTACTCTCCTCCCAAACACCCCTATCACATGCAAATCCAGGCATCTGTAAGTAGAGGGCATTAAACTGTGTGGACCTGACAATAAAGCATCTGCCCAGAATTGCTCACTATGGAAGCTACCCACACATGCCCAGCAGTGGGAGTTCCTGAGTATAAAATTGCTACCTTAGGACAATTTCTCCTTTCCCAGTATGGGCTATGTTTGTCTATTCTGCACTGAGTATGACTGGAATAAGATAGTTATCTCTCGCCAGAACCGGTTTGGCTCAGTGGATAGAGCATCGGCCTGCGGACTGAAAGGTCCCAGGTTCGATTCCGGTCAAGGGCATGTACCTGGGTTGCGGGCACATCCCCAGTAGGAGATGTGCAGGAGGCAGCTGATCGATGTTTCTAACTCTCTATCTCTCTCCCTTCCTCTCTGTAAAAAATCAATAAAATATATTTAAAAAAAAAAAAGATAGTTATCTCTCCTCTCTGGGAATGATAATATCTTCTAGCCCCTAAGTCTGGGACTCCACAGCATCTGCCTCCACGATGCCTCATCAGCCACTGCCACTGTGTGACTGCAGGAGAACCACCTGATTTGCCCAGTCCTGGTCTTGGGGAAAAGCAATGACTCAGGAGGTAGCCAAACAAAGAAGGAGGTGACTGCTGATGCTCAAACAAAAACCCAGGAAAGGGACATACTAAACCATTAACAATGGTTTTCTCCAGGTGAAGAGCACAATGGTAGACTTTTCTTTTGTCTGTTTATCTGAGTGTTGCGGTGTTACCGTAACACAAACGTATTATTTAAGTATAAGGACCATGGGCTTCTCACCTATAATCAGGCCAGCAAATCCCACCCCTTTACCTAGGCAAGGATGATGCTGACCCTTCCCCCAATCCAATCACGCCCTCAGGGTTTTCCTGTGTGATTATTTCACTCTATTCCCTTCATTTAAAAGTTGGGGTGTTGGGGAAGCTCAACATGTGACTTCTCTGGACCTACATTCACCTAGAGATAGTCTTGTGTCTCCCCTCTCTCCTCAGGGATGACAGGGGTCAAACAATATTAATGCTGATTGTAAAATATGGCATACAAGTCCCTGGGGGAGGGACTCCTGGGTGTTCTTGTGCTAAAGAAAATCCCATCAGGCCGACTTGAAAAACCAAGGTGACAACTTGTGTGATTCATTTTAGAGGACCTAGAAGCTTCAGAGCTTTTCAAGTAGCCAAGGAACTGCTAATAAATAGAGTAGCTTCTGAGGGGCGGAACAAGGACCATATTGAAGGTCTGTGAGGTTTCTGCAGCCTTAGGAGTGATCTCTTCAAATCACAGTATATGAGGGACAAGAGTAGGTGGGGAGAGGTCAATGGGGGAAAAGGGAGACATATGTAAAACTTTCAACAATAAAGAATTTTAAAAACACACACACAGTATAAATGTTGACAATAAAGGGACATCAGAGCTCGTCTAAGTCCAAGCCCAGAGAGGACATAAGAGTCACACAACATTACAGTGAATTGGGTGCCATGATGGGATTAGAACAAGGATCCATGTTTATCATCAATTTAATACTTTTGTTTCCAACACAAACTTATTTCATTACCAAGAGTTCATAAAAAGCTAGATGTTGCCTCATTTTTTTTGAAGGAAACAGTTGAGAGGGGAGGAGTAGCTATAAGACAGGAGAAAGAGGTAGATGGTCTAAGGGAGTATTTTGCCCCAGCACAGTGCAGTGGCTTGGGATCCAATAACACACTCTCTTAAGTACTCAATTCCAAATAAGCCAATCCGACCAAAAAGAAATAATGTTTTACCTGTGAAAGACCATCTTTGCATAGTGGACATTTCGCATTGTGGTCTAGGCATCTCTCAAGACATTTCAAACAAAATGTGTGTCCACACGGTGTTGTGACTGGCTCATAGAATAATCTGAAATTTAGGAATCAAAATGGAAGAAAACGGCAATAAGACCAAAAATAAAAGACAGGGATACTGAATGTAAGCTTTTATAGTATTATTTGGAAAATTCTGTATGTTGGGGTGAGGTGTGTTGTTGGTTTTTTAATCCATGCTGTTTTTGAACTTCAAAAAGGCATTTGCTTTTTATTTCTGAGCTGAATTGTAAAATAATGCATTTACTAAAGTTTAGGACATAGTTAGATCATTTTGTGACATTAGTTCTAGCCAATCTCTTCTGGGGCATCCATACTTTTTTCAGTGTCCAGAGATAAATACCCAGAGTGTCTGCATAGATCCTATTCTAAAACATTTAGCCAACCTATTCATCTGAGTGTATGTAAACACACATACACAGATAAACACACATTCATACGTTTATCCATTTAAGTACTTTATATCACATTACAATGGAAAAATGACTCGGGTTCTTTGCTAATCTTGATTCTATTTTTTACCTAAGCAATGTCTATTCCCTGAAGAATCTTGAAATTGCACTGTAACAAACAGATAACCGCCTTTTTATATGGATGAATCATTTTCCTAGGGGTGATAGAGTATTATTGTTAACTAGAGGCCCGAAGAACAAAATTCATGCAGTGGGGAGGGGGGAGGGTCCCCTCAGCCCACCCTGTACCCTCTCCAATCTGGGACCCCTCAGGGGATGTCTGACTGCCCGTTGGGGATATCCGATTGCCTGTTTAGGAATCAGGCCTAAACTGGCAGTCGGACATCCTTCTCACAATCTAGCACTGCTGGCTCCTAACTGCTCACCTGCCTGCCTGCCTACCCGATTGCCCTTAACTGGCCCCCCTGCCAGCCTGATCACCCCTAACTGCCTCTGCCTGCCTACCCGATTGCCCCTAACTGCCCCCTTGCCAGCCTGGTCACCCCCAACTGCCCCCCCCTGCCGGCTTGGTTGCCCCACACAACCTGCTGCTCAGTCATTTCGTTGTCCCTCACTAACTCCCCTGCTGGCCTTGTCGCCCCACTCAGCCTGTTCAGTTGTCCATTCAGTTGTTTCGGATGTGACAGCCCCTAGCTCTTTTTATATATATATATATATAGATGTGCTTACTGATAGATACATATGTACAATATATGTACATATATACATATGCATGCACATACACTTCAATTAAGTCTTATTTTAATTGTTTTGCGGGAGTTGGATATTTTCAAAGCATTCTTGGGGGTCTTTTTTAAAAGGAAATTTTAAATATGTTTTTATTGATTTTAGAAAGAAGGGAGAGGGAGAGGGAAACATTGATGATGGAGAACCACTGATCAGTCGCCTTCTGCATGCCCCTTACTGGGGGTCAATCAAGCCCAAAACCTGGGCATGTGCCCTGACCCAAATCAAACCCGGTGACCTCTGGGTACATGAGATGACACTCAACCTACTAAGTCCACCGGCCAGGGCTGGTGGTCTTTTTAAAAGCTATTTTGTACATTGAGAGATTCATGGGTTTACTTTGCTTAAAGAAAGGCTCACTTGCAGCAAAACCACTGGGTTGGGGTAGCTGAAAATGATGGTTCAGAAGTGGGGCTCTCACTCACCAAGAGGACAAAAGGAACAGAAAGATCCTGACCAGACTATTTTGACCTTACAAATGTCAGTAGAGAGGAAGAGGTGGCCAGCTGCACAGCCCCCTCGTGTGGCTGTGCTGGGAAGTGCATCAGCTACCTGGCCAGAAAATAGTATCAACAACCTACCAACCCTAAAACAATTACTGATGATTCAAGTAGAACAGAACATGTTTCTCTTAAGTTAGATACCAATTACTGCAATTTAAAAAATCTAGCACTAGCATAAGCGAATTCAGCACTAAAAAGATCAAACGCGCTAAAAAGTTAAACCCCATGTAAAGAAAAAATAAAGTTAAGGCAAATTTTATCTATATAGTATCTTCTTTTCTAAAAATTATGCAGAAGTGCTCAAGTAACATTTCATTGTACATTTAATAATGTCACATCTTTCTAATGAACAAAATCTCTAACCCTGGGTTTCAATATGGTATAACCACTATTTTTAAAGTACGTGAGGAAAAAAATTAAACCCACAAACCAGAATGAAACTGAGATCTAGGAGGGATTCAGTCACTTATCCATGTGTACAGAGCCAACTGTTGGCAGATGAAAGGCTCTCCAACTTCCACTTCCAGTTGTGTGCTCTTTCTGTTGGAACAGTGATTCTCAACCGTTGCTGTGTGTGAGAATCGCCTGGGGAGCTTTTTCTTTAAACAGTTTTATTGAGGTATAATTGACATGCAATAAATTGCACACACTTGAAGTGTACAGTCTGATAAGTTGTAACATCTATACATGTCTATGATATCATTTCCACAATCAAATTGTGAATATACCCATCACCCCCAAACATCTCCTCATGCCCCTTTCTAAACTCTCCCTCCTCCTCCTCCCCACACAGCCCATTACCTGGGGGGCTTTAAAAAACTACAAATGCCTGGCACCACACCTTAAGAGATTCAAATCAGTTGGTTCAGAGTAAGGGCCAGGCATCAGGGCTTTTTAAAGTTCCGCAGTTGGTTTTAATGTGCAACTAGGGTTGAGAATCACTGTATTACACATTCCTGCTAATCTCTGCAGAACTGAATCTTCTGTATTAGTCTCAAGACCTAATTGTCAATGTGACCTGTGGAGCTTTAAAAATATAGACATGCTGAAGCCTCACAGGATAAAGTTTATCATTCAGCAGGTCAAGGGGAGGGGCAGAGATTTGATTTTTTTAAAAATACTCACCTGAGGATACTTTCCCATTGACTTTTAGAGCGAGTGAAAGAGAGAAGGAAAGACAGAGACAAACATCAATGTGAAAGAAACACATTGATTGGTTGCCTCCTGCACATGCCCCAAACAGGGCTCAGGCTGGGGTGGAGCCCGCAACTGAGGTATGTGCCCTTGACCAGAATCAAACCCAGGACCCTTCAGTCTGCAGGCCAACACTCTTTCCACTGACCCAAACTGGCTAGGGATTTTTTTTCTTTTCTTTTTATTCCTTTAAAAATTTTTTTAAAAGAAATTCTGAGCCCTAACCGGTTTGGGTCAGTGGATAGAGCGTCGGCCTGTGGACTGAAGGCTCCCAGGTTCGATTCTGGTCAAGGGCATGTACATTGGTTGCGGGTGCATCCCCAGTGGGGGGTGTGCAGGAGGCATCTGATCAATGTTTCTCTCTCATCGATGTTTCTGACTCTCTATCCCTCTCCCTTCCTCTCTGTAAAAATCAATAAAATATATTTTTTAAAAAAAGAAATTGTGAGAGATTCATACAATAGGACACTATATGTACACTAATGAAAATGAACAAGTTCTACCTACCTGCAGTAACATGGATAACTCTTTTTTTAAAAAAATATATTTTATTGATTTTTTACAGAGAGGAAGAGAGAGGGATAGAGAGCTAGAAACACTGATGAGAGAGAAACATCGATCAGCCGCCTCCCGCACACTCCCCACTGGGGACGTGCCCACAACCAAGGCACATGCCCTTGACCGGAATCGAACCTGGGACCCTTGAGTCCGGAGGCCGACGCTCTATCCACTGAGCCAAACCAGTCAGGGCAGATAACTCTTAATACTGAGGTAAAGAAGCCATAACAAAAGAATACGTTTTGAATAATTCCATTTATATAAAGGTTTTTTTGAAAAATAGGCAAAACTAAATTACACTGTTTAGAGATCCATACGTCATGGCAAAACTATTTTCTTCTTTAAAAGAAGAGATAAAAGTTAAGATAGTGGTTTCAGGAGGAGGGAGTTGTGATTTGGAAGTGGCATCTGGGGTTCTGACAATGTTTTATTTCCTGAACTGAGAGGGGTTGCATGAGTATCATCTTTACAATATTTTATTAAGAGAATACATTTACGCTGAATTCTAACTACTAGAACAGCTAAACCAGAATGTCTCATTTCCTCAGAAATGTGAGTCTTATGAAGCCGAATGTTTTTTGTACATTATTCAATAACGCTAATGATGAAGATGATGGATGAATCTGCATCTGCAGAACTATTTTTACAGATAATTTCAAAAGTGGGCCTTTAGTTCATTGAACAATGTAATCCACATAAAATAACAATGATATAGCTGGTCAATTAATTGCAATAAGGGGGGTAATGGGAGATACCTGTAATACTATCAACAATAAAAATATATTTTAAAAAATAATTGCAATTAATACTGATATCTAATAAGCAGATGAGTAAAACAGACACAAAAGAATACAGCAACTCTTTGTAAGAGCTATGATTAAAACACCTCTAATCTGAGTGGCCACAAACAAAAATGCTGCCACAGACGGTGCATAATTATTGATTTGAAATAATTCAAGGTTCAAATGATTAGAATATATCACCTTTCAAAACTCAATTCAATTCAATATTCAGGGTGACCCTACTACAAAAGTTAACTGAGTAACGTGATTAGCAACAGATGGAATATTTCTCTTGCTATTCTAGTGTGTGTAATACTATTTTCCACATAAATTAATTTTATATATTAAGAGGTTGTAAATATGATTAGCTTCATTTTACTACTGAAGAAATTAAGAACCAGACAGGTTAAACAACTTATCTATGGTCAAACAGCTAGCTGGAGCTTGGATGTAAAGTCACATCTGATTTCCAAGCCTGTGTTCCTTTTCCCCTATATGACATGGCCACGACTGTGTGTACCTCTATACCTAGAACAGAAATCATCTGTGTACTTATAGAAGCACACATTCTCACACACACACACACACACACACACACACACACACACACACACACACACACAACTTCTCTCTCCCTCTCTGTCTCCCTCTCCTCTCCTCTCCCCTCATGGGAGTGGTGGGGAGAGAGAAAGAGAAATAAGAGAACTGTAGATGCTAGCTAGGTAGATAGAGCTAGATATAGAGATATACTTGAATTCCTTTCCCTTTTATTTACCACTTTAAAAAAATCCTCACCCCAGG